CTTGTAATACTGCACACAATTTGTCGTTTAAATAAATCCATAGTTACTTGAAAGATCTGTGTAAAAGGCTTGCCACCACAGCTGGAAAAAATCCTAGAAGAAACACTGAACGCTTCACAAATAAACCTAAATCCTCATCATCCCTTTTTCAATTGGTCCTGAATTCCACTAGATAAACTAATAAAAATCAATTTGAATAATCAAAAAATAAATAAACAAATGAATTAACTTTATTAAAGTTGTTATTAATATTGGTCTTATATGATAATTTTATTATAATTACTGTTGTTGGTATTATACTGAATTCATGTGTTATATATATATATATATATATATATATATATATATATATATATATATATATATATATATATATATATAATAAGAGACTAAAAATAAACAACAAAATTATAATTACTATAATAATAACAATCATTCAGTTAAATAATAAACAATTAAATTATTATTTTTGTTGTAAAAATAACTGTTATATGATCATCATTATAATTATTAAAGTCATGTATTATGTACATATATATATTAATAAATATTTAAAAATCTGGAAAAAAAATTATTATTATTACTTTTATTCTTCTTTTTCTTCTTCTTATTATGTTGCATTTAATAATACATTATAAATTAAATTACATTATTCATTTATAAATATTATATTTGCCTATTTATGAATACAATAGCTGTCAAACAGTATTCCTATTGAACACATTTGTGAATAAATAAATAAATAAATAAATAAAAATAAAGCCTTATTCTACCATTTTCATTTTTCATTAAATAACTCACTGAACAGTGGTTAGGAATATACATTAACACTGAGTTTAAGACCGTCTGAAACAGTCCGAAACTTCACCCTTACTATTTTTAAAATCTGCTGACCAAAAAAAAAAAAAAAAACACTGTTGCAACTGAAGCAGAAACATAAGCTGTGCAGCTAATTAAAGGTTTAATTTGGAGAAACATATTGCTTATAATCACTTACAAACTCTCCCTGCACTGTGCCGAAAGTTCAATTACAGGTTTAGCGTAGCCGAGCACCGCAGCACCTCGTTCTGATGTGGCAGCGTGAAAGAAGCAGTAATAACAGACTCAAGGGCCATACGGGCCAAACGCCACCCGCGCTGCCAACCTGCCCTCCCCAGGGCCCAGCCGGAGGTCATGGCCCACTTTGGCAGCAGAAAGAGTAGGCAGAGAGGATTTTCATTTGAACATGGTGCAATCTGTCACAATCCCATTTGATAATGAGAAATCACCGCCTAATGTGTCTTTAATCTGAGCGTTTTCGGGTTATTACACAGACTGCGCAGCCACCGTTATTTTTCCTCTCCAAACCCTCTTAAGTGGAAGTAATCTTATCGGAGAGACAGAAAGAAAAGTCTGCTGGGTCAGCGAGTTTGGGACTGTGTGTTGCGGGCCACCAAAGAGCATCTGATATGATGATTGTGGCCAAATCCAGTCGTCCACCTGGGACTTCACTCATTCTCTTCCTCCAGCTCTCAAAGCTGCTTATCCCGGAAACAACACACTATCCCAACATGAACAAACAGGCCTTCCACAACTTGTCTCAAATCTCCTCATTTGGGAGTCCCTGGTCTCCAGTGAGACCGGTTTAGTTCAGTAATCTACCAAAAATATATAATGATTTAGTATATGTAGAAATGGAAGGAATCTTTGTGACAGAAACCAACAGTATTTGTGGTGCTAATAAAATCAAATGCGGTCGACACTAGCAATGTTTTAATTCAAATATGCAAGCTAAATGTGAAAAACTTGAATATCACATAAAAGACAAATAAAGCAACGTTTCCATCCATCGAGTCAAAGAGAACTAAATTGCCACTTCCTGATTAACTGGCGCTAAATATCGAAAGTGAAAAAAGAATTTGCTGCGGTAAGAGAAGCTGCGTGAATCTTTTCTTTATTTAATAAATAACTTGCACCTCAGAAGATAATGCTGGCATGCAATGAACGCGTGGTGGCGTTTGAAGGCATGGGACGCAGAACTCAAATGCTCTTGACAATTCTGGAGGTGATTAATAATATAAGAACACTAATACTGAAATTATTAGGATTAGGTTATGCACATGTTTTCAAAATGTATGCCTATCTTGGTGCTTCCATCAACCATTATATGCATACATTCAAAATGCGCATAAAATAGGTAGATGGAAACATGGCTATTGGTACCGTTGCTAACTCAAGTAGTTATTTATGATGTGTATATAGAGTCAAAATGGACAGGATTGTGTGCCATAACTAATTCTAACACACATACATTTGATATTTTCTATGCCAGTTAAATATACCTAAGAGTACATAAAAAACCTTATGAACAAAACATTAAACATATTTATCACTAAGCATAATGTACATTTAATGTGATTTAAGCATAGGAAAATCACAAACTGCCGAATTAGTACTATTTGAAGAAGTTCATCTGATTTCAGAATATACATTTCAAATGTACTAAATTAATTTGGTTTACAGTTACAGAGAAAAACAGACAGACAGACACATACATATATATTTCCAATAAAACAACTATGTTTATGTTGCTTTAACTTATTTTAATAAGTTAATCCGGTTTTAACATTTTTTTAAATATACAAAGTTTAACTTAATATTTTTAGTCAGTTTGATTGATGTAAATTGAGACTAGAAAAATTAAGTTGATTCAACTTAAAAAATTAAGGCAGTAGGATTATTGTTATGACAGACAGGCAAACAGATAGACAGAAAATGATGGATGGATGGACAGATTGATGAATGGATAGATTATTATTATTATTATTATCTTATTATTAATATTCATGATTATAATAATAATAATAATTATTATTATTATTAAATATAAAATATAAATATTCTTTAATTACATAAAAATTATTTTTATTATTATTTATTTATTTATTTATTTTTTATGTGTTGTAAATGTAACAAAATGGAGTCCACAAGTAAATCAAAGCAAAGTGCATTTAAAATGATTCATCTGAATCTGAAAATACTCCAACAATAGAGAGAGATTCACCTTGAGCTACAAAGGGTCAAGGACTAGCAATAAAATCAATGCTAAGCAACATAAAATTGGATTTTTAAACAAAACCTGAATGGCTAAACTCTGACAGCAGCCAAGTGTGCACAGACATGTATGAATGCAAATAAAACGTCGGAAGCGAGGCAGCCTGAAAAGAAGAGGAAGAAAAAGCAAACGGGCCTTTAGAAGGAGTAACGCAGAGCGGTAATGTGTGCAATGACATCTGGGACTGTAATCAGCCAGACGCTTTCAAGACCTGCCAAAGCAAACAGGGCAATAACAAATCCACTTTAAAGATCATCGATCTGCTCTGGACCAGGCCAAGCCAAACACAGGAGGACAGGAGTCTGCAGAGCAGGGTCAGCCACTTTCTGTGACCCTTACAGTCTTCCAGACCCCCCCAAAATACTGTCACAGCCTCCCACCTACAGTCAAACACACCCAATGCCCACATAACCCCTCGAAAACACCTGCAAGATGATGCTACACTTCAGCAAACAAGAGAGGGACTACAAAAGAGAGGGACTCTTTTGTATTGGCTCCAATATGTGAAAATTTGAAAAAGATAACATCTAAATTTCCATGTGACACCCCACTACTCCCATACTCCATTTATCACCACTTCTGGCAGTGCTTTTCATCGCAAAAGGTGTATAAACAAATAAACAAATATTGTTTTTGGACGGACTGCATATTCACAAAAGCATAGTATGCACCTATCAATGATAAAACAGTTCCAGATGGAGAAGAATAATAAATGAAAGACCTCATTGGGGTTTTTTTGGGGAGGGTGACTGAGTGCAGAAACGGTGCTCATGCACATTGAGCATTTGTGGAAAATGGAGACAGTTAATCTGATTTGAGAACAGTTCAAGAAGTGGCTGTGCTGTGGATGGTGCAGGAGCCAAGTGAACGGAGCACCGCTGGGAATTATGCAAATCAGACAAGATGAGACACTATGGTGAAGTAAACCTTCACTTTGCAACTTAATAGAGCAAATGAGGTCAAAAGAACAAACATTTAATCAGGGGAAGAGTCTGTAAAGAACTACACTAATGCCAAATAAACATTCTGCAGTCCCACTGCACCCAAATCAGAAGCTGAAACTACCAGAAAAATCTGAATCGGGTCCTTGAACTGGCTAATCTCCAATTAGAATGTCAGGTATTGTCTGATAAAATAAACCGTAACTGGTATAAAGTCTGTTATCAATCTATTAATCAATTATTTAAAGGGTCAACACGTTCTCACTCCCAACTCGTCACATACTGACGCTTGGTCAGGAACCCTCGGCGTCAGTTATTGACGCACAGGGTACCCCTTTAGCGTCATATTTAGACGTGCAGGGATTCCCTATAGAATCTGTGCCTGAGCCTGAGGCGTCATAGGGAGACGCTGGAGGCTCGTATAATTACCAATAGATGTCAACAAACTTTTTAAAACCTGATTTACGCCTATTATCTTAGTTTTCTTATTTTAAAAATATGTAATTTTTATTTTGTTCATGAAAAGCGTCTGTAAACGGGGTCGAAACTGCTGTATGAATAAACTTCGGCCCACGTGACATCCCTTCACGGTGAGTTTAACGCCGCTCTGCTATTGGTCAAACTGCATCAGCGGTGAGTTCTCAGATGAGTTCAACTGTCAACATTAAATATTACGTTAATGCTGCATAATATATTTTTATTGGAGATTAGTTGGTGTTTATAAATATTTTATCATTTACTTTATATTTAATGAGTGAAAATATATTCGGTTGTCCAGTTTAGGGTAACTATGCCTAATAAAACTTTGATTCATTCATATTATTTATTATTTTTTTACTTTAAAAAAATATTAAATTTCAAGTACTAAGTTTAAAAATGTTTTCGGCTGATATTTTTCATTTTAAATTATTTATTAAAGTTGGGGTCATTGTATGTGGCGATCTATTTTTTACAGTCTATGCTCGCTATCCCAAGGTTCATTGCGATCCCAAGGTTCACTGCGGTTTTCCACAAGGTAAGTAAAAAGTAAACAAATAAACACGATTTGTTGATAAAGCATGTACTGTAAACTAGCGACGTTATCTAATTACATCAAGTTCATTTATTAAAAACATATTTTTCTCACATATAACATTGGTCATGCATTAGAACAATATATACATTTTAAGATAAGGAACAGTGTAACCAGATTGTTGTTTTCCACAATAGAATTCGTGCAAAATCTATATATAATATGCAATATGCAACTCTAATAATACAAATGTATTCGTAATTGTTTCAATATTAAAGAACATCAAGTGTTTCCAAAGGTTTATTGTAAAAACAATTATTTTCCATGCCTTTAAAGGAAAAAGGCAGAAATTTTTGTACAACACAAAACTAAACAAAAAAATAGCTTAATCTACCACACACACACACACACACACATATATATATATATATATATATATATATATATATATATATATATATATATATATATATATATATATATATATATACAGGTGTACATTATAAGGTGTTCACTGTTCAGATATGAATATTTTTTCTTTGCTCTTTTCAGGTTCTTTAGATTTCTTTAAAAATCCAATTTTGTTTTCTAATAAGCAAAAAGTAAAATCACTTTACTCATGTTTACATGTTAAATTGCACTTGTCTCTCTCTATCTCTGTTAACACATTTATATTTGTTTGATTAATTCTTGTGTCTTTCAGCCTGTTTCTGCCTATCACCATGAGTGATTCCTCAATACTCAGATTTATCATCAAGATCTCAATTATAAGCTCAAGTTTTGATGACAACTTGGTGATCTGCAGAAAGCACCACCATGTAAGGAAGGCCAAGACCACTCTGGAATCAGTCAAGGGTTAGTGAAGTTTTTCATTCCATGTATATTAAATATCTACATTGTTTAGGCATATATGATTGTATGAGATAAAATGCATTTATTCTTTCACTACTATTGTAATAACAGAAAGAAACGCATTAGTTTTACTATTACTATTGTTTATGACAAACATTAAAAAACTACAGCATAAGCTCACAAAATATTGTGGCCTAACTGTTTAAAACTAATTGTTCTGGGTGTTGATAGTGGCCAACCATTTTTTTTTTCTTTTTCAGAAAGTATTTTGTTTTGTCTGATTTTATGACACCTTATAGGCCATCAACTTCCCACATTGGGGTTTAGGAAATTAGAACTGCTTATGCTGCTTGTCTACTAGTCTTAGGATAAGTTAGAAATGTTATAAATGTACATTTTTTTGTTGTTTTTATCTGGTACAGCTCATAGGAACTCCAATCTTCCCAACTGTGAGAGGGCCTTGCTCCAGTGACTGTCAGTGTGTACTTCATTGTTTCCATTATTCCCTGTATCTGTAGACCTAGGTGACAGTGGGCTAGAGTAAAATTTTGGTTTTATTTAAACTAAGGCATACTGATGGCCTTTTTATCTCAGATTTGGTCATGCAAGTATTAATATATCCTAAAGTATTTTTATATTCTTTCCATTGGTGGAAAAGATGTTGGTATAATTATTTTTAATGGACTGCTAAGATCTCAGCAGACATTTTTCTGAGATATTCTTGAGTGGGAGTCTGTGCAATACAAGGTGGATAGTATTTGCAAGGAAGAGCCCTTCATCTGTTCTGCTTCCACACTAGATATACTGCCAATTTAAGTAGATATGAACCATAAGCATAACCATTTCAAGAATGCACGAGGTACTTTAAACTGTATGTGTTGAAACTAAATTAACAAGAAAACAGCTCTGTGATGTTCACCTAAGAAAATTAGATTAGAAGATATAAACTGTTATGCACTTGTTCTGTACTGTTTCATTCCTTTTTCAAACACTGGCATTTTTGAAGGTTTATTTACAGCTAAGGATTAAGAATTGACAGGAAGATTTGTGGACTACATCAACTAATGACACTACCTCCAAAGAGTTGCAAAAAGCTGTCCAAAGTTTCAGCACCGTCTTTAAGCCCATGATTTTAGTGTGTTTCATGCCTAATCACATGAGTTTATATCTGAGATAGATGAACTATGTGATTGTCTTAAACTGATCTACAAGTAAATGCCAAAACTTATTGGTTTACTTATTTATTTATTTGTTTGTTTGTTTGTTTGTTTGTTTGTATATGTTAACCAGGTGAAATGGAGTGAGGCATACCAGGATATGCCTGGTTTTACTTTTGGGAAGGAGGTTGAACAGTGCAATATTTCTTCTATAGGATTGCAGTGACCAGACATGCTACTGTAACTCTCATGGTCATGTGCTGGAATTAGCAGATATTCAACAATTTGGCCATCTCGCTGACCTGTTGATATCAGAAGGTAACAATATCCAGTATAATTTGTTTTAGTTGTTCTGTAACCTATTTAAATAGTATTGTGATTTTTTGATTGCTTATCATTGTAGACCGCAGCAGCTCTGCAAAGCAAGTTGCAAAACAGAATCCATGAAACTGGCAGTGACTGGAAACCAATTGGAAGACTTTGGTCTGTGATGTAGAGGAGTGGGCAGAGGGTGAGGAAATTCTTATTAATATTACATGTAGTCATGAAAAATTGTGTTACTATTACTGTCTTTTTTTTTTTAGTAGCAGAAGCAAAGACAACAAAAAGAAGAAGTGATATGGATGTCTTCGTCATATGGCATGGTATGTACACTAGACTTCTGTCAGTGTTGATTCTTTAAAAGTTGACGTATAATCCTTGTTATACAACTTTCTTTTCATAAATATATTTCAGACTCTGCTGACCCAGCAACAAAGAGGAGGGTGTTCAACATCATCCTGCTAGTCAGGATTCTTCAGGAGAAGCAGTGGATTCTTGTGGCAGAGATGGTCAACCACTATAAATACCTTTCAACTCATCCTGGTTCTTTCAAAGAACTTTCTTGCTTGTTTGCTACTGAAATGTACTGGTATGTATTTGTATTTTTTGGCACAGACATAAGCATAAGGTTACCCAGTCCAAAGGATATTAATATATTTTTATGTTGTTGTGTTCTTCTTTTAAGATTCGACATGTGGCCTTAACGAAGAGGGGTTAAAAGGTCTATGGATCATCATTCTCAAAAAGCAACAAAATAACTGAGAAATAAACAACAATACGATGGTGCAATCTAGAGACCTGCAAGGTACCTGCAAGTTTTGGCTGGAGCAGAGAACATAGATTTTTTTTAAATAAAGCTCCAGCTGATGAGTATGACATTGACTGTGGATTTTCTTTTACTGTAATCCAGAAGAGGATGACCTTAACCCTGAATCTAAAGCATGTAATAAAATCTGTAAAAAATTAAATAAAATTGTCATCATCTATAACCAAATTGTCTTTTTTTTTTTAAATACATAGATATGTACAGTATGTAAGCATTCCTCTAAAATCAATCAGTGTTGTAAATTAAGAGCATTATTGTATGCCTAACTGCTTACAACATATAACGATTTAAGGAACTCTATATTAAAATGAAATTATTACATTAAGTGACATTAAGAGCTTTTAAAATATTAATTTTATGATACATTTTTATGATAAATTTAATTTTTGCATATACTTGGGCAAAAAATGTACATTATTATGGTCAACTGCTCAGATACCTCCAGTCAATATGTGGCTGAGTCAGGCAACCACACTTCTACCTCTGGAAAAATTAACCTATGATTTACATCAAAGATCTGATGGATCCATTTGGTCCTCATGGATTTTTCTAAAAAAAAAAAAAAAAAATTAATCTCCTTTTATTTTTGTCCTTACTTTGAAACATTTGTATTAATTTGTTAGAATGTCTAACAAAAAACTGCTGCACTTGTTGTGAGATAACAGTGCGACTGTTGTTATTCTGAAAATAAAAATTAACTTTGTATAATGTTTTATTGAATGCAAGATAAAAAATAAAATATTTTCCAAGAGATGGATTGCGGCTGGAAGAGCATCTGCTGCATAAAAACATGCTGGAAAAGTTGGCGGTTCATAGCACTGTGGCGACCCCTGGTTAATAAAGGTACTAAGCCAAAAAGAAAATGAATGAATGAAAATAAAATATGTATTAAAATATGTATTTTTGGTAGACATAGAACTACACATTAACTTATAAATACAGCACAGAACTATTTTACTTCTAGTTTAGATAATTTAAATGTTTGCATTTTTATTTTGTTGGTTAATGGCTATGTATTTTTAATCATTTGGAGGTTTGAACTATTCGCAGCATTTGAAAGGATATCTTTTCATCATTGTTACCTCATTTCTCAATATTTTCATGATTCTTACAATGCAGCAAATCTTACAATCATTTGATCATAAAGAAAATAATTAACAAATTAACCCACATGCAGGACAAAGACATTATCTGGAATCATTATTAAACACAAGTTCATCCATTGTCATCAAATCATACTGTTACACAAACAGTTGAAGATTTAGAAAGTAAAAATAATCAGATAAAGAGTGGTTTTTAAACAAATACATGTCTTTAAAAAGGTTTTATTTATAAACATTTACATATTTTAAAAGAGCTTTTATCCATATTTCAAATAAAGTGAAAACAATTAAATATCACATGATGACCATTAATGAAACACACTTTCAGAATTACATCCACACATATTATTCTGAACTCATAACATTTGTGATGAACATAGATCACTATTGCTAATAACTTGTAATTAAAGAAGATACTAATGTTTAGCTTATTTTTACAGCTTTTTTTTTTTTTTTTAACCACAACTGTACATGTGACAATACAATTTCTTGTCCATGTTGAAGATAATACATCTACATAGGTTAACTGCCCTTTTACTCAAAGGGGATGAGTAGAGGCCTGTAGAAAAGGAAAAAGTATTCACATTTCAAACGAGAAATGAGTGAGAGAATATCAGCAAGACTATTACCTATGCTATGTTCAATAAATAATGTTGGATATAATAGTCTGATATATACTGATCAAGTCAATAAAAGCTGTTTAAAAAATACTCATTGTAAAATAACAAATTTATGCCTGGCTTTCATATATGTCATAAATATATGCACAATGACCTTATTCAGATAGTCTTTAGTTCATTAAAATTTGTATCTGTTCCATTTTATTACAAAAAAGCTTTAAACTACATTACCCACAATCCTTTGTCGCTGTATAGATGGGAGGGGAAAGACATGGCGCTACAAATTGTAGTTCCTTGAAAGGTGTAGTTAGGGTTAAGTTTAGGGTTACGATCTTGGTTAATCGTTTACTATTTAAAACACAGCGATAACTCATTGATAAAGGACACTGTTAGTAAAGTGGCAAAGTTAGCAAAACATAGTTAGCAACACGAAGGATCTTTTAATTTGGCTTTGAAGTTATAGTCCAATCACAACGTCGAAATCTACGTCACACTTTGTCTCTATTTGGTAATCTTCCGGCTGAAGGTTGATTATAACCTTATAATATAACTTAAATATCAAAATGTGTATTAATATTACATGTTATTTGTTGTCTTATTAAAAATACAAATGTATATTTACCGTGAGATTACTTTGTGGGAATAACCTGATGTGCAAAATGATAATAGTAAAACCAGATCATAGGCAGTATACTTAATTTGAAACGAATAATAAAATAATAAAAAAGCTTCATGTTTGAAAACATTTCAAGCATTTGCTGTAACTAAACCCTGCATCATGTAGGTATACAAATATAAATATATGTCAAACTTAAATGACAAATATAGTGCCCATTAAATAGTATAAATAGTAGTTCATTGTAAATGAGTATGCAAATAAACACAATACATTTTTAATGAAACATTTATAATTTATTTATAATGCCACAAATAAAAATAAATAATAAAAATCACACAAAAATGCAAAAATATATATTTTAACCAAAAATATATATTTTATGAGTTTTTAATGCAATAATATATTACCATACATATATAAATGAATAAAAACAATTATAATTGAAGGAAATGTATATTTTGTATTATTATTATTATATTTATTTTGTGATATTTATTCATGTCATACATCTGGTATGTCAAGCTCAAGTAAAACTGCACTGCAAAAAATCTTTTCAAATGATGCCTTTGGAAATGCCATCATAATAAACAGCTTTCACAACAACAAGAAGTCAAGTTCATGACAAATGCAAATTATGTTTATAATAACAACTTTCTGAACTTAAACATCAAAAGTAGAATAAGTTCAAAACATATTCAAGTATTTACTGAAGAATAGCAAAAACTATTTTTACAAAACACTGAGAACCAAAGTGTGCTTGGTGAGTCCAGGTGTTTATGCTGACTAGACTGTCATATTGCAATCCGGTTAGCATGAGGAGACTTGGGCGTAAAGTGTCAGCAATTCCTGGAGGGCTCCCAAGTGTTATTCCAGGTTTTGCCACTGTAAAGTATTAGAAGTGCACAACATCATTACTGAACAAAGAATGAGCGTTAGGTTTCATTTAGAAAGTTCAGTGATATTTATTTATATATGTAAAGTGTCATTAAACCTGGCACTCTTGAATTAACTGTATAATAGGTTAGACATTTCCAGCATGTTTCCATTTATTCCAAGCAGATCTGTCAGTTCTACAAACTCAGATCAGGATAGTAACTGCACTTCTCATTATGAACACCATTATCCTTCTCATACATTTTTATCACCACTGATGTCCACTGTTGTAGTTTTCATTGAAGGGAATGCTGACACAAATTCCAGCATGATTTTTTAAATAGCATACTGCAACAGCAACAGCATACTGTGCTTCACCCTAAAATATTTCTAAATTATAACAAGCTTATTGCTTTACATGGCTAAACATTTATTTTATGCCTGCATGATTCACTGCTATTACTGTAACCAAGCGGCAACCTCCCGCTCTCCCTCAGGAAGCCAATACGGAAGTAACTAAAACTGCAATTCATCCGAAATTCCGCTAGTCTTGGCCGCTCCTGGCTCCAAAACAGAGCAAATTTCAATTGAGCCCACTGTTAGAATGGCCAACTTTACAGCAGAAAAAAAGGTGTTTACAGCCTGCTACAAAAAAAGGTTTTGGTTAATACAGCTAATATTACCCTTCATGACAACTGTGAGGGGGGTGAATTTTTTTATAACTCATCCGTTTCCTTTATATTAAGTTATATTAAGTTTGCATAATTAAGGGCGTGGTCACTTGAAAGACAGCTAGGTCTCGTTGCTCTCCGTCACGTCACCTCAGCTGAATCCGGCAGATTAGCCACTGAACTCGGCATATTTATCGTATTTCTGTGTTGTTTTATGTGGCTTTACACAGTCGACTGCCTTTTGGACTTGTTTCCTACAATTATTAGATGGAATGGCATGCTGAGTGCACTTAATTGTGCTCACAAACCGTTCACGTGGCCTCCGTTTCCCATGTGAGTAAAGTTATATACTTATATACCATCTCTATACATGTATTTGTTTTATTTAAGATCATTTATCGTTTACATTTATATTTAGAGCTGTAATGCACTCCAGAATCTGTCAGATTGATTAGCTGTAGGCTCTAGAACAGTCATCTGAAGCGTTGTCATACAGTGTTATGTTGGATTTCATCAATAGTCTTACATTTACTAATACAGACTATATCTGAAGTGTTTAGAAGTAATTCGCGTTTTCCTCCTGTCATAAGAACAATGTTTAGCAGCTCAATGTATTACAGCAGTGTTTTTAAAAGACTAAACACTTTATTGATATAGTGTACAACAAAGCACAAGTGGTCAGAATACAAACGAGTCACAAGTGATAAAGTATTAAGCGTTCTCCCAAAGTAAACCAGGTGTCTGAACCAGGTCTAAGCTAAATGCAGCATGCGTCTGTAGCTCCGCTCACTTTCCGCCTCTTTGCCCATGTTTGGTATCCCGCCGTGGGTGTGATGACGCGCGAACAAAATGGCGACGGTTGGCCGCGCCTACTTGTGGCTTCTTTTGCGCTCTTTAGAAACCTATGGGTGACGTCACGGATACTACGTCCATATATTTTACAGTCTATGACTGTAACCCATTACACTCTTAACCCAAACTAGTTGACTTTATTAGAAAACTGCATCGAAACATGTTGCCTTAAATCCTT